TAAAAAGTTAGGTTTACTAATCTCTAATCTGCTAACTAAAAAGTTAGATTCATTAACCTCTAATCTGCTAACTAAAAAGTTAGGTTTACTAATCTCTAATCTGCTAACTAAAAAGTTAGATTTACTAACCTCTAATCTGCTAACTAAAAAGTTAGGTTTACTAATCTCTAATCTGCTAACTAAAAAGTTAGATTCATTAACCTCTAATCTGCTAACTAAAAAGTTAGGTTTACTAACCTCTAATCTGCTAACTAAAAAGTTAGATTCATTAACCTCTAATCTGCTAACTAAAAAGTTAGATTCATTAACCTCTAATCTGCTAACTAAAAAGTTAGATTCATTAACCTCTAATCTGCTAACTAAAAAGTTAAATTCATTAATCTCTAATCTGCTAACTAAAAAGTTAGATTCATTAACCTCTAATCTGCTAACTAAAAAGTTAGATTTGCTAATCTCTAATCTGCTAACTAAAAAGTTTGATTCATTAACCTCTAATCTGCTAACTAAAAAGTTAGATTTACTAATCTCTAATCTGCTAACTAAAAAGATAGATTTACTAATCTCTAATCTGCTAACTAAAAAGTTAGATTCACTAACCTCTAATCTGCTAACTAAAATGTTAGATTCATTAACCTCTAATCTGCTAACTAAAATGTTAGATTCATTAACCGCTAATCTGCTAACTAAAAAAGTTAGATTCATTAACCTCTAATCTACTAACTAAAAAGATAGATTTACTAATCTCTAATCTGCTAACTAAAAAGATAGATTTAATAATCTCTAATCTGCTAACTAAAAAGTTAGATTCATTAACCTCTAATCTGCTAAGTAAAAAGTTAGCTTCACTTAAGACTGAGTCACAGTCGTGGTTTGGAGCACCCTCGCTGGCAGTGGAGGTGTTTATACGTGGCGCTTATGTTGTAGATTTCTCCAAAACAACATGTGAATGTACACTTTATAACTTGTGAAAATGTAAGTAGGATAAGCACAAGCTTGACAGACAAATAAACAATTTGAATGGTGCGCAGCGCACACAGCCTTTGCGGTGTTAGGACTACATGCCAGGACATCTCGCAGGGCCAATGCACAGGGGCGGGGGTGCAGTGTTACCAACTCCTGAGCAGGAAAAGTCCCTATTGGCTGTCCTAAAAGTCACTAAATGAAGTCATCACCTAGTTTGCATAGTTGGATGTTTGCCAATAATTGTGATCTGAGCTATAGGATAAATGTTCAAGAGAAAAAAAAGTGAAGAAAAACACTAAATTTGTTTAAAACTGCAATTAAACTTAATGAAATAAAAATAATTTAATGACTTCAATGCTTAGATCCACATTACATAAATTGAATTTGACTGATAGATATCATGAGGCACAGGGAGGACGAGGTGAAGCTGATCTGTGAGTCAAACACAGCTGGGTCCAGAGATKTATTTTACAGAGACTGTGTCAGAGAAAAACATTACAGTAAATATTACATCCTGCTTTGTAAACCAGGTAGAAGCAGTGGCAGCTTTCATTCAGCTTTCATTTGCAGTGGTCTCCTCTCAGCTGACTGCAGTCGGGGTGGGGGTGCTACACGAGGCTTCAGTAGCTATGTTTACATGCACAAAATTTTTTGATCGGATTGAAATGTATTCAGATTAAATAATCCAAATGTACAGTTTACATGGACACAATCCGATCATGAAAAGTGTTTACATGCACCGGAGTTTTATTCGGAATAAAAGTCCGGACATGCGCAGTGTTGTAAACGTTCAGCTCTACTTCCGTGTTACAAACGTAAACAAAGCTCTTCTGTGCACTGCTCGCTGCTTTTAGAGAAAAGAAGAAAAGTGCTTGGAAGGTTCTGTCGTTAAAGCTTCTAAAAGTCTCTAAAAACACCGGGAAAAGTCGCTAGATTTGTCGCTAGTCGCTTTTTGGGAAAAAAAAGTCGCTAGAGGATCTAAAAAGTCGCTAGTTCTAGTGACAAAGTTGCTAAGTTGGCAACACTGTGAGGATGGTGAAATTGCGTCACTATTGGTGTGTGCACCCTCGCGACACCTCATCTATAAACCTAGCTTAACTCCTAATCCGCTAACTAAAAAGTTAGCCGCACTAGCCACCAATCTGCTAACAAAAAGGTTAGCTCCGTAAATGGTAAACTAAACAGGTAAAAGAATTTCTGGGAGCTAACACTAAGTGCTAACTGATAACTCAGCTTATAAGAAACATTTCTACATCCACCAAACGGTTAAAATCACACAGTTGAACTGACAAGTAAACAAACTCCACAAAGTAACATAAACAATCCGTTAGACCTAAAGTTTGCAGAATTAAATTTAGCAAAAACTAATTGGTCTACTAACACTTTACAGAGTTAGCCATAACACTAATTTGGTCATTGAAAAGCTTTAATTTTAGTTGTTAGTGGATTAGCAGAACTGTGCCTGGTAACTAGTGATTCACTTTAACTGGCACCCACATAGCAAAACTTGTCTGGTCCAGTTTTGGCTGACACAATGTAATAACAGCCCTTTGGTGGTCCAGATGTGGTTCTGGTCCATGTATGGGTCAGAACAACATGAACTAAACCACAACTGGGCCAGTGGTGGCACGCCATCTTAAAAATAATGTGTCAGACCTGGAACCCATCAGGTCTGCTTGTTATGCCCTCAGAGCCAGCTGGACTCCTGATCAGGCCAACACCTGTCTGCTATGTGGGAGTGGATGTAAACTACTGACCCCAGCTTTACAAATTAAAAG